GAGATTGTACTCAAGGGTACAGACTCACGTGGTCGTGTTGTGTATACTCTCAAGGCTTAGGTGTTTGGGTTTTGTATATAGATAGGTTGTCCCAGGCCCGTGGATATAGACTTACATTTGGGATATACCAGGTTAGATTGAGGATCGATGAATTTACGTGAATTTCTAATGTTTTCGATGAGTATTCTGGCATGACAGGGCTCAGCTCTCGCCAAATTTATAAGACCCACAAGTGAATTTGATTATGGCTCAGGCTCAGTAACAATTAGCATTGCTGAAAGCTAGAGGAGAGGAAAAACGAAGGGGCATAGCGCGCAGGGTCGGTCGTTTTCGCCTGATTGAGGCTTTAATGCCTGATAGTTGGCCTGAACTAGGCATCGCTTTACGTAAATTATTCCGGGACGGAATAACCAGGCCCGACGACCCCATGAACATGAAGCTTTTGGCGCCAAGAGATATATATTGATACGTCGATGACCACTATATGGCACGGTGGCAATTGTAATTCCTCTGGCATCCCAGGAATCTATCGCTCTACTGGCCACTATTCAACACGTTGGTGATCTGGTCCAATTCCGATTCCCACGGAATATCCGGCTCCTTCTCATCCTCAAACGGATCAGCATTCAACGCAGTCACGTCCACATGCACATCATCCCCGAGTGTCATTTTACCACGTCCGACCAGCGTGCACAATTCATCCAGTAACCCAGGTCCATTGGCGGTAGCCAGCTTGGGGTCAACGTACACCTTTACCTTGAAGGTTTGACCCCTTCGGAAGAAGAATCCCTTGCTATTGATCGCGGGGTCATTGTTATCCAGCGGGAAGGGGTGCATCGTTTCCTCGCGGTAATCGGTTAACGCCAAGATGAGACCTTCTCCCTCTCCGAGGCGAGGCGCCACTTTGTCATGGAGCTCCTTGTCCAGCTGGATGTTACTAGATGAAAGATTGATGTTCGGCGCTTGGAGGAGCATGTGCGTGATATGGTGTTGTTCTTTCGACCCGAAGAGATAAAACGGCATGAAGTTACGGGGGTAATGATCGTCTCGGAAATTGGAGTTGAGTCCACGACTTTTCACCACTCGGCTCATCGTCACGTTGCATCGGATCGAGTGCGAGTAGTATCCTGCCTCAACGAGGCCGATCTCACCCTCGATTTGTGGACGAGAGTGGGTGGGGTCCTCGATTTGAAGCATTAAGTTTTCGAGATGAATCGGATCATTCGACGCGAATCCGATGTCTTCACAGGGGAATTTTTCTCGCAGTGCGATGTATTGACTTTTGACATCTTTCTGTAGTTCCACCGCCAAGATGATCTGTTGACGCTGGGTTGCGCGGTGGAATTTTGTCTGGAACTCCAGGAACACTTCATCTGTTCCTCGCAATAGGAACTCGATGGTATTTGCCGTGGGACTATTTCGCGGGCGGCATGAGTTCTTGACTTCATCAATAATGGTCTCCTCCAGTTTCTCCATCAGCTGGTGAATGAAGCCACGTTCTGTCGGAAACGGACTCATTACAACGTTGCGCAGAACCCAGAGATCTTGTGCACAGGGCTCGAGGTGCAGTCGTTTCATGAAGTTCTGCGCACATTTGCCATATAATGCAGGCTCGAATTGCGTGGAGGTCAAGAAGAGGGGGATTTTACTGGGGTCTTTGTCACTCCTTGTGATCGATAGTCGGTTGACTACTCGTCTCATCAGGTAATTCGCTTCCTCAAGGTCGGTGTTGATGGTCCCATCGGCATGGTACCAGTTTAGGGCGAATGCGTTGATGTTGAGATCTGAGCCGATTTCCCGGAGCCATTTCATCGCCCGGGGGTTGCTGCTGACTTGGGCGTTATCTTTCGTCAGAACATGTTCCCAAATAAGTTGACGCCGGTGGTCTGCTTCTTCTGACAAGATGTCGTATCCCTCTTGCTCGATCGGCAGTCTGTTGAATGGAACGATGACATAGTAGGATTTGCCCTCCTCCTTGGGTTGCTTTAGGTGCATAGCTGCATAGAAGGCCGATAGCTATCAGGGGTTAGAAAGCAGATGGTAATACAGACAGGAAGGGGAATCCTACCCGTGCACTGGTGAAGGCTGCTTCACCCAACAGCATCCCGTATCCTCTTGGATCCAATCCGATAGTCTGATTGGAGAGCCACGCGGCCATCGCAGCAGCACCAGGCTTACTTCCCTCAACACCATATACGCCGATATTTTCCATTGATCCCTGAGTGAGGTATGGACTAGTCCAGGTAACCAAGAATCGCATGCGACCGTCCCGATAGCAGAGACTGCCCGCAGGGTAGGGGATATAACCCGCCTTGTGTGGATCAACCGTAATAGAGTCTGCCTCTTTGAGTGCAATCATATGCTTGACGGTATCGGGTTTCAGAGTCAACGAAGGAACGTTGATGACGGCGTTGTCTCCATCCTTCCTCTTCGTTGGTCTTCCCGGGGCCATATAAAATCGCGGAATCATGCTGGCAAAGTATCCGCCCCAGGCTGCATCGGCGTGCACCAGGAATGACAGCCCCTTGTCTTGAAATCGACGTCTCATTGCCAAAATGTCATACAACGGATCCACTTCACCTTCTTCCGTGGATCCGATGATGGCCACTACGGCGTATACAGCTTGACGCTCGGTCACACATCGATCGAGCTCTCGCTCCAGCGCTTCGATGGAGATATGCCCGTCCATGTCTAGCTCCACACCCTGCATATTGGCTGAACCAATTCCGGCAATCGCTAGGGATTTATCAGTGACTGGTCACTCTAGGGGAGAAAAATGAAGAATTACCTCCGCCTTTGGGCCACGAGTAGTGTCTCGTCTGGGCCAGGAAGTACTTGGTGGGCTTGGTAATGTTGAATTCGCGCTCCAAAACATCCTTCCCTGTGGTTTGAATGCTGAACGGTGTCAAGGAATTCTCTAGGAACTTGGACGTGATACCATATTGCTGATACAGAGCATCTCCCATACCCAAGATGACCTCCGATCGAAGATTCAAAAGTTCCCAGTTCCCTAGATCCCTGAAAAGCTTCTCCTCTCCCACGCAAGTGGTGACGTAGAAGCTATCAGCAATGAAGCCAAGGCTACCTTCCTTCATGGCTTGGTAGAGAGAGAGGGGGTAGAACTTCAGATTCCGAGCTGCACATTGGTCAATCCCCGAGTCTCTGGCATCACAATGAATAGGTATGCTTACCAACCCAGATCGATTCCAAATTAGCCACGGTTCCATCGCAAGTGATATGGCCCCAGGACAGCGGCATTTCCAATTGCTTAGGATCGGTATTGTATCCAAACATATCGCATAGCTGCTTTCCAGCCCGGAGCTCGATGACGGTCGTGAACGGACTAGCCTCCACGGTGACATTGTTGGGATTGTAGATCATTGTCATAAAATACCCCAGTAGCCCCGGCATGGTCATGTCCGTACACATGTGACCCTCATATCGAGGATGCCAAAATGGAATTGAATGTTTTCCCAAGAGCGAGACAGCTTTCTTGACTGCTTCATGGAAATTTTGGGTGATTTGTTGGAACTCCGGAGAGGTCCGAACATCCTCGGTGATAAAGACCTGTTGTTGTCAGTTTCTATGCCCGTCTTTCATCTGCATTGTGCTATTATGGGGTGTTGGAACACACATCATCATCGGGTTGGTAATCAGAACGTGTCTTTTCGATTTGATCTAGGATCGCTGTAATGTTGGCTCGGAAGTTGCCCATATTTTCGGATTTAGGTCCGATGAAGTACGAGCTGATGACATTGTGGGGATTGATTTCTTTGCGTAGTTCATTCATATTGGTGTTTTCCTTGTGTCTTTCTTCTTTTTTCGAGATGTCTGTCAGACCATCAACTCGTCAGGGGATAACCAGATACTTATACCACTCTTCCTTTTCATAACTGGCGATTCTAGCTCTACCCCTCTCACTAATGGATAAAGCTTCCCTCCTCTCAGGCCAATTGCTTTCATCAGCAGCGACCCACACTATACATGTAAGTCGCTTTGCCTCTGGACTCTACGGATAAGGAATCGATCAGCCTTCTAATGGAGTCGGAACCACACTGATGATCCCGGTTTGCCCGAGACAAACTGCGACCTACGTAAACAACGAATGAAAGTATGATAGGTCATACAGCAAGTCATGCACAGTCACGTCAAAGTGGAAGATATTTTTGAATCTCCCGCTCGAGCCGGTCCGTTCCGTGCGGTATGAACTACTGTGGAGTAGATGTATCGCCACGACCTTGTGTCTCGGCTGGATATGTAGAGTGTAGAATTTGTGGCTGGGCTGAAGACTAGCGCACTAAAATGCAGATCATGTCGATCAAGCCGCTTACTTATAAAGATCTACTTCGTCATAGACAATGTAGACCGTCGTCAGCCTCCAGTACTCCACAGTACAGGTCATGCATTATGCACTATGTCAATAAGTCCAATACAAAATATCTTCATCTGCGTAAAAGGTGGTACATATCCGGTTTCTACGCATGGGTGGGGAACAACTTGGGCACTTTTACATAATATATAGACGCTGCGTTACATGAATCTGCATGTTTTGCCCGCTATCATTTGCCTCGAAGTACGGCATCGCGCTGTGGCCCAGCTACTGCTCGACGCACGCACTGATAGCGACTTGGGATCTTCAACTAGTCGAAAAACGTGCCAAATAACTAGCTACCCAGAACATCATCACCAATTAGAAAAAAGGTAGGGAGGATGCAGAGATGAGGATACTAGACTAGAACAAAGGGTTAAGATATGAAAGGAAAGATAGAGTGCACTCCATCGATCGAAGCCATTGTTATTGCAATGAAAACATGCGAATTTTATATTTCCTATCTAACCAGATCTGCAAGTTGGCTCGAGTCAATCCGCTACCACCTCCAATGTTGACATAAAAGACCTGGGAATCATAGGAATAGGTAAAGAAGATTTTATTCTTGAAAGAATATGTATCTCTAACATGCGTTTCGTCACTCATAAAAACCCCTACTTTAGAGCCGAGGCTAGATAGGCGCGGCAGGCGGCCAGCTTGGAAGTATCACAAAAAAATCATAATCGTTCGGAAACCTCACATCATCCATCGCAAAGTTCCAGGCCTTTGCAACCCGATTAGCTGGCTGATATCTTGACCGGGTTTCCAATTCCAAGGTAATCTCGTCACAGTTTCGAAAATGGAGCATAAATTCGTCCTGGCTCTCCACTTCGAATTTCATGTCCTTCAAGCGGGGCATACGTCGTGCCGCATAGCCGAGCGATATGAGAAGCCGATGAAAATGCTCTTCAGTCCGTAATTTCGGATATTTCCATCCCGCTTCGACATCGCATATCTCGTCTTCCCAGTCTTCAATATTATCAATTTCGGCCTGGTCCTCCGGCGTGTTATGGTAAGTCCATTCTCCTAATTTAGTGATTTGTTGTTAGGAACCTTGGACACACTCCACGTTTTGTCTTTCTCTCTTTCTTCTTACAAAAGAGACAGATTTCTTACCTGAAGGAAGCCAGGCTGGCACAAATTCAATCTCCAATATCTTCAGATAAGGCCAGTTCAAGTGCAAAAAGCCTAGTTCAGCTGGCCTCCTTCATCTAAGGGACACAAAAAGTCAAACAGAATAGAAGTACGTTTCAATTTTAACTCCTGAAGGTGAACGCTGAGATCTCGCAGATTGAGGCTCACACCATCAATACCAGAGGGGATGAGATTTAGTGCAGGCATAGACGGCTTCCATGGGCCGTCGCTCTCCCCCTCATAGTCTAGCACCCTTAGGCTCCTTGGAAGGGAACCCAAAAGAGAAGATAGCGCTATATAGATATTAGTGAAATATGCTTAGAGTTGAAGAGATCTATAGTCAAAAGAGTACAACTTACCTGCACGACGTGCCTGTATATACTCCAAGTGATCTGGACGGACCCACTCGTCGAGATTGAGCTCTAGATCAGTGATTGTAGGACAGAACTGAAGTATGGTTTGCACTGCTCCGGTCCAGATTTGATGATGCTGGTCCCAGGAGGGATCGTGATTCGGGAAAGAGAGCTTTTCGATGCACGGAACGGATGCTAGATCTGGAATATCGTCGAGAAATCGCGCCCGATATGGGGATATCGAATATATGGCTCCTTTCTTATAATCCCAGCGGATAATCACCAGCGATATCCCAGTGCTGAGTATATGGTTCCGGTGCAGGGCTATGTTGACGTCCTCGGAGAGATAGATGCAATTTGAGGCGGACATTCTGGTCCCATGAGTGAAGCTCTTGGAAAAGACCAACCATAGCTGTCTGAAAGGCTAGATCATTGGCCTTTCTGATAGGGTTCTCTATACAGTAGCTTTGAGAGAATATCCTATCTCTTTGCGTGTGGTCCAGTCCAAGAGTTCGTAGGGGACGATGATATTGTAATGAAGGTTTCGGATCCAGCTTTGCGGTATAGCGCGATCGCCGGATGTGAGCTTTCGGAAATTTGCGAGAGAAATTCCACGTTGCCCCTCTTCTTTGTACTCAGCATCACTGTAAACAGCTAGACTAGAGTAGATGAGGGGCTGAAAAACCGCCTGCCATGAGCGACAGACAGAAATGCATGGAACTAGAGAGGTCCCATTATTTTGTAGAAGTGTTGCGATCTGGCATAACAGTTCCGGGGGTAGAATTACCATCATTATGCTGCTGGGGTGTCTTGGCAGAGCATAAAACCGCGGAGTTGATTAGATCAGGCCACCAGTACAGAGTACAGAGTACACACATGAAAGAAAAAAGAGGAAGAAGAAAGTTTGAATTAGAAAAAGCAAGTTGTACGTATAATCAAACGCTTGGTATCAGCTAACTGTCATTAATTACCGGTCGCATTTAATCAATTGGAAACGATCCACCATCTTACATTAAAATTAAATTATCTCTATCATTCGTGGTGCTAGAATTAATCTAAATTGCTTCATGCCCTGAAAAAATGGATGGCGCCAAAAGCTTCATTTTCATGGGGTCATCGGGCCTGGTTATTCCGTGCCGACTGTAAATAGATGCCTAAAAGCGGTCGAAATCGAGGCCTGACTTTTCAGGCATTAAGGCCACAATATGGTAAAAACGCGCTATGCCCCTTCGGTTACACTTCCCAGGGCAATTCCCGTTTCCACATCCACCCCAGGTTCACCCGCTTGACCACCTAATCTTCCAAAAGTGGATTTCAATTCATTCCGACTAATGTTCGAAATGCTGCCGACCCAACTCTTCCGTCTCCATAGTCAATTCCTCCACTAATAGAGAGCTCAAGAAACCCAATGCTCCAAAAGCGGCCAGTTCATACCAGATTGTCTGCATGGCGTCCTTGTATGCACCTCGAATGAGGTCCCGCAGATCAGGAGAGATGTCGGCTGTTCGCAAATAGGGTATAAAGCTTACGGCCTCACTAGGGTCTTTCAACAATGCCCAAGAAGCAGGTAAATCGATGCCGCTAATCCTGTTGGCGAGAACACTGCTGAATGTAGTGGCACCAACTGCAAGACCAATAAGGGCACCGAATAGCCTGAACGCGACCATTATTCCCATTGCGAGACCCTGGTCATCGGGTGCAGCGCTGGCTTGCATTGGGATGGGAGGGACGCTGAAGATTGTGCCAATGCCGATCCCCGCAATCACCTGGAAGCCAGCAGTCATGGCTACTGAGGAAGATTGGTCCCACAGTGAGAGGATACCACAGCCAACGGCGAGGAAAACCCATCCAGCCCAAATCTCCCATATGTATCTCCGAAAGAAGTCAACGGCGAAGGCCGCGATTCCGGTAAAGACAAAGACCACACAGCAGAATGGCAGGATCGAGATAGAAGATTTCAACGGTGATTCGAGGTAGACCGCTTGGAAAAACAATGGAAGATATTGCAGAAGAGTATAAAGCACAAAGCCATGGATGAAACTTCCAAGCAGAGACATTTGTGCCGTTCTGGAGCGGAAGATACGGTAGGGGAAGACAGCGTCAGTCTGATAACCCTCGTAAAATGCAAATCCCACCAAAATCAAAACACCAATGATCAGCGGAACGATTGTTCGCCAGGATCCCCAAGGGTACATATTCCCCGCCCAACTCAGCGGTAGGGCGAGAAGAACACAGCCGGCCGTAAATAGTAGCATTCCAAGCCAGTCAATACGGCCAAGCTGGGAGCGAAGGGACTGGTCGATTGGTCTTAGGCGCATAAAGAAAATAGCCAGAAAGAGGGCAATGCCGACTATAGGCAGATTAATCCAGCCGATCCATCTCCACGTAACAAACTCACTGAAGACTGCACCGAGAATAGGACCCGCGATGCACCCTGTCGCCATTGGAAGCGACAGTAATCCAATATACACAGCCCTCTCTTGCAGAGTAGTGATATCGGCGACAATGACCTCACTTAGGACGTCGAGTCCACCTCCGCCCAGTCCTTGTAGAACACGTCCCACAATCAGAACTGCCATGTTTTTCGCGACGGCAAAGACAATCGATCCAATACCGAAAAGGGCAAAAGCCGCGTAAAGAGGGATCTTACGACCGCAGATATCTGAGAAACTGGTATAAATGGGCTGGATAACCACGACTGCTACTGTGAAGGAGATGTTGGCCCAAAACGCGGTCAAAGTCGTGCCGGAAAGTTCATTGGTGATGGCCTATAGAGAGGAAGGGTTAGGTGAACTCAATGGTCGTTTGAATTGAAGGACTTGTTATCGAATTACCGGGATTGCAACGGCCAACGTGGTAGCATCCAGGGACACCAAGAAGACCATCAATAGCAATGCTATAAATGCAAGATAGAATGACAGGGGCTTTGGCTTCCGGCTCCGTTGCCCTGTTTCGGGGTCGGTTGGCGGTAACATGTCTGATACATCTTTTTTCTCCGTACAGTCGCATTCAGATTGGGACTGAGATTGTGCTAGACACTGGGACTGGGACGGAGCTTTGAGATCTCCTAACGATGACTGGTCGGAGCATTCTTTCGTGTTTGGTGGTGCGGCTTCTATTGGTGAGGACATTCTTTGGATATTTTGGAATAAATTGAAGATTGATACTCGAATTTCTCCCTTTGAGAGAAAAAGGCTACGAATGTACACATAGTCAAGGGCTGTTCGAAGTGATTGATAATGAGGTGGATTTGTAATCAATCTCCAGGGGTGTCTCCCGTTGTTACATCCACCAATTCACGCGATAAGAAATGGCGCGATATAATCCTTGTCGTTATGTATTGCTGCGTTATCTCCCCGCAAGCAGCCAGATGGGGTCCAAACAAAGAAAAAGAGTTTGGGTGGGTAAAGTGGACTTCTAAAGAAACCTCCCGAGGTCGGGAGATCGACAAAGTCCGCTTTATCGTCGCTTGATTCAAAATATACTCTCTCTTTAAATTCAGGGCTGGACGACTGAGTATGCCCTCCTAAAAAATCGAAATGCAGCCACACTTGACCCCCAGCTTGCACATTGCTGAATAGGGCTTCTCCGACATACCTCCGGTAGCTCCGACGCCTCGTTCATTAGTGCGAAAGGCATCCAATGAGAACTTTTCTTTCCCTTGTATATTTGGCTCATTGTACATGCATGATTGACTTTCACAATCTGTGGTAATTCTGGCCCCCGGAAAAAAAAGTACCATGGTAATTCGATTTGCCCCCGGTAATCTGCTGGCAATTCCACAGCACAGTATGGCGTATGGTTATCCTACGTGCTTTTTTTGGCTTCACAATAGCTATCAAGATACTTTCAAGATCGAATCTACACAGTTGTTCACGAAATGGGCCTCAATGATCATGCTGGTAAGTCTTGGGATATATATGTACCTTCCTTCTGCAGCGCATTCTGCACAAAGAGATTTCAAACTTACGTGGGGTCTTTAGCCTGCTGCCAATGTAGACACAGAAAGATACACTGCAGCCGGGAACGTCCACAGTGTTTGAACTGTTCCAGGCTAGGGTATCGTTGTGAATGGTCAGAAAAAGGGAAGAAACCTAATCAGACGAAGAAACTGTGAGTTGTTGATCGGAACGCCATATCGATGTGCTGGTATCAAACCCGTGGTCCCAAGAAAAATTCTAAATGCTCTCTAGATTGAATGAAATTACCGATCTACGCAGCCGAGTTGAAACCTTGGAAACACTTGTAGCCACGATGCATGGCTCGCTGAATGCTCCTATTATTCCTGCAAAAGCAGTGGCTGTCTTCGACACCGATAGCAACTCTGGACCCTCGGATTGCGAGAAAACGGAGTTGAACGGATATGGAAACAATCTACTTGGACAGGAACATACACGGTGGAACTTTGAGACCCCATTAAAGCACCAGAGGTCGGAACTAGGGAGCTCTTCGGACCTGCATGGTAGTAATTTGGGTGCTTTTACCCCAGTCGAGCAGCATCAACAAGGTATCTATACACGGTCCCACGAGGTGTCATGTCTCCCTCCTGAACTGGCACACGCCCAGCCAGTGCTTAGACATGAACCAATACCCATTGGCTCTTGAAGAGCAAGCACACTACTATACGGGTCTTTCTCAAAGCAGCTGGTATGAAACTGCGTGACATAGATACAAAATACATTGAGCACCACAAACGTTCTGCGGGTCTTGCTGGATTAATAGATGAGTTCAAGGGTCGAAAATCTTGTAGAATTTGATTTACGAATGAATGAGTCTAAATAAAGAGCAATTTACAAGTTTCTCGTTACTGGATGAACAATATAGGGAATTGGTAATATGCCCCCCTTAAAATGACCCCCCACCCGAGTTGTATTTTGCTTATTAAGCCCTCTGTCGTCAGGTCCCGACTCCCGAGGTGGCCTTGTTTTCTTCAGGGAGAAAATCTCGGAGCCTTCGTGTCAGGTAGAATCCCAAAGTAGAGAAGATAGGCTATGCACCACACACAGAATGAAAAGGGGTTTACAGGATGCTGTTGCATGAGGATACAAGGATGTCTACTACGGTCTGTAGGATCCCTATCCTTGCTAGCTGACCTCCTCGGATGGTTGGTGTTGTTGTGTCGCTCTCCTCCTATTGATCTGAATGACGAGATTCGCTTTTTTGAAATGATACGTGTTAGGCCTCTGCCCTAGAAAAGATATATCAACTGTACCCTTTCGCAAGATGTCCATAAATTTCCTGGGGCTTTGCATATTGCCAATCATCTTGGCAAGTCGAGTGATTAAAATAAGAATTCAGGAACACAAACTGGAATCCGTCAAGGAAAGGCCGGACATATGCTCCTACATCTACGAATCACTGGGCGTGACTGCCACCTTCCAGGCTTGCTCGGACAGGTCATATTCTCAATGACGATCACTCGATTTGAAGACAGTAGCGAAGGAAAGGCTTATAATCCATGATAGCATTGATGGACTTTGCCAAATTGGCATTTGGTCCCAACAGGCTTCCGAGCTTGCTTTTCATCGCCTATGTTGCGTTGCATCCATCATTTCTATAGAAATGTTGTAATACAGGCGTCACCGTTCTGTATCCCATGACTATATATGTGAACAGTAACATTTCAACCAACTAATGTAATTCACAAGCGAGTGGCCACCTTAAAGAAACATAGTAAATGCGATAAATTAGAACCTGATATCTCAATAACGGTGGTATATGAGGGGTTTTCCTAATAGCTTGGTACCTTTTAGGTGATATCTAACCTCTTTAGTAAGTTTAGACCAGTTTTATAACCCAGTGATTGTGATATATATATTTCAAGATATTTTTCAAGTGAGACGATAGCCATACTCATTTTGACTTTATGAATAACGAAAACATCGGCTTTCTACTTGTAGGCTCCTAGTTTGTACGAAAATGTGACCGAGCATGGTGCTAGCCTCGATTCAGCTAAGTGGATGAGAGACGAGCAAGGATAAAGTCTTTCTCCTGCATGAGAATGCCCCAAAGTCTAGGGCCAATAGTGCAAGCATACCATACGTGCTATAGCACTACATTTCGGAGGGCCCAGATTCACCGCGGTAAGGGGGAATTTGAAAGGGGAGAGTGAAGAGTGGCTTGCGCAATTTTGAGCATATGCGTGATTGTATCAAAATTTTCGTTCCGGGTCAATGAAACCTGTGAAATTAATGTTCACCACTTGAAATTGGTTTCGTGGTTTAGAAGCGCTCAGGCAAAACATTGGTTTAGCAGAAAATTTGGCTTAGTATCCAACAGCAAGACTTGTAGAGCGGTCGAGGTGGTGATAGATTAGGCAGCAATGCTTGAAGAAAACAAGCATTTACAGGTAGCGAATGAGAAGCAGAAGTAAATCACCGACGGTCAACTAAGCAAGCCCCTTTTGCGTTACCCATACGTTCGTCCCATCATAGGTAATTGCGTCAAACTGTGTACGTATAAGCTCGTCGATCTCCCGCCCCACCATGAATCTCTGGACCTTGATTGGCTAACCGGAAGCAGATGGTCCTACAAAACAATGCAGAAAAAGCCATGTCGATCTTTCTGGGCGATCATTGCGTAATAAGCGGAAATTCGGAAATTCGGCAATTCTAAATTTGGTCGACCCTAATTCGATTTCAATGGAGCCGGGCCTGTGGGGAAGCATTTGGATCTCAACATCTGTCAGCCATGTCAACATACTCACCGTCTCCATCTATGGAAATAAGGCTCAGGGGCTTCCGAATAATATAGCAAGCAACGTAGCCTTTCTCATGGATCTGCTGCAAACTTCATACAAACTAAGCGGTAAAAGCGCTATGGTTTTCGGATACATTGAGCTACGAAGAACCACAAACTCAATGTGGTATGTGAAATGACAAGTTCGATGGAGTACTGAGGAGTGAAGCGTGGCTGGGGTTTGCGGAGGCCGCGTGTACGTGGGGAACACATTATCTCAGCCCTGGAGAAAGCTCTTCGATTGTCCAATAAAGCTTGAATAAAATGGATGATGTAAAATTCTTAAAAATAGGCGCATTAGCTAGGGATCAGCCATGTTGTGCTCCATAGTTGCCTCATTCTTTCTCTTAGGGCTTCGGGGAGCCTACCCGACGGTGATCATCCTCGATCTCAAACCTCAACTTAGAACATCGACCAGTAATGAGATTAACATTACTCCGTATTGATTCAGAGACACTCTATGTTCTTAATTCTCTGTTATGAAAAGCTTCCATGTTCACTATGGCCTCGTAGAGTAATTCTATATGTACTCTGTATACACCGTATAATACTAGGGCCTGAGGTCTGTTATATCCCTTCTTTGGACCCCATAAAAGGAGGCCGTATAAAGCTCTAGAGACAAATTACGGATCTCAAGATCCAAGTCTAACCAGAAGTAGTTGCAGCCTAGTCCAAGCTACTGCAGTATTCGCTTTTGGCTTTTTTAATAATAATATTCCAGACCAGCCCTTGACGACCATGACGCGTCAATCCGATCGTTATTCCTTCCTCTAATGTCGTGACAAGGTTGAGCTCAGTCAAAACATCAAGGGGGTTCTCTCGAGTTGAAAGGTATAAAGAGGCGGTCCTGGACACTGTCTTCCACTCATCATCACTCTCATCCAAACACTTCCAAACACTTTCAAACCAAAGACACTTTCAATCCTTTCTTTCTACAACAAATCTCCAACTGCCAAAATGAAGGTCACCTCTATTCTCGCTACTCTGATGGCCGCTGGCCTCGTTGCCGGTGCTCCTCCTAATGAGCGTATGTACACCAGCACATGTAACCCATTCCTAGGCTGAGAGTTTTATTAACACTATTTCCAGGCCCTACCGATGTCCAGGGCAACCCCCTCCCGGAGCCCACTGCAGCTGAAGTTGCTCTGCCCCCGGCTCATGGCGACAATGACAATGACAAGAGGGACCAGCTTGCTCCTCCTCCTAAGGATGGCAAGCACCCCAAGGATGCCAAGCACCCCAAGGACATCAAGGACAGCGGCAAGCGGGACCAGGTCCCCCCCTCCTCCTAAGGATGGCAAGCACCCCAAGGACATCAAGGACAGCGGAAAGCGGGACCAGGTCCCCCCTCCTCCTAAGGATGGCAAGCACCCCAAGGATGCCAAGCACCCCAAGGACATCAAGGACAGCGGCAAGCGGGACCAGGTCCCCCCTCCTCCTAAGGATGGCAAGCACCCCAAGGACATCAAGGACAGCGGAAAGCGGGACCAGGTCCCCCCTCCCCCCAAGGATGGCAAGCACCCCAAGGATGTCAAAGATGGCAAGCCCGCCCCCCAGGGTAACTAAATCTATCTTCGATAGATTTGCAAATTCCTCAAAGTGAATGTTTGTTCTTGATCTAGATCGAAGAACAAGTTTACATTTGAGCAAAGGTGTGTTTTTGGTTTTTGACAACTCAGTGTATCGCAATAATTATTCTCTTCTATGCATGTATCTAACTCCATACACTCTTTTGTTTGCTAAAAAAAAGCTCCCTTTTTCTTATTCGTAGCTGGATCTCGCCAAATGGGGACCCCCATAGGACCAGACCTTTTCCTATTTCCCGTTCTCATGATCTGACGGTAATTCTTTTCACCTTTTCTCCCATGAGATTCCTATCGATAGATTCCGAATATAGTATATTATTATGGCCTAACAACATATTTTTGTCTTCTATCGAGGTTCATGTAATGTGATCCACGGAGGTGGAAGTTCTTTTACACAGGAGAAACTGACTCATTTCCCTCTAAGCTTCGTGGGAAGTTTTATCTCTATTGCCGATATATTCCAGTGACTATTAATTTGTTCTGAATATATATCTTGGCGGCATGTACACTAAGCCACGCTAGTCTATATTGGGTTATTATGTAAATAAAACACACAGACCCGTGGACGGGCTTTAATCTCATTGTCTCTGTCTTTTTTCTTATGCTTCAAGTCTAAAATAATGACCACGAAATCTTCCGACAAGATATTCCCAATCACAACCTTTATTTCAGACCTACCGACCAACCTTATTCTGCAACCCCTCCCATCATCATCCGAAAATGGCCCTGTCAGTGGACGTTTGATCATTGTAGGCGATGTCCACGGGATGAGAAAGTCCCTTGAGGCACTCTTAGACAAAGTCGATTTCGACAAACACAAGGGAGATCATCTGATACTAGTTGGCGACCTAGTCAATAAAGGCCCCGATAGTCCTGGTGTTGTTGATCTGGCCATGAAGCTTGGCGCTAGCGCCGTGAGAGGCAACCACGAGAATGCAGTTCTTAATGCGGCTGCGGAGATCAAGATCAACGCCACAAGGGATACTCTACTGCACTCCAGGGGCGATCCGGTCGTACCTGAAAATCCCGAAGCGGAGCTACCCGGAAATAATATCCGAGATTTCGAGATCGCCGACAAATGCGTACCTGCCACATCGCACAGTACGGCCTCGGTACTTTCGACGCGTCAGCTCGACTGGCTTGCCACTTTGCCATTGATATTACGCGTCAAGCTACCTCATGTCCTAACATCCTGCTTCGGTGACACTCTAATTGTCGTACATGCTGGCCTCGTTCCTGGCATCCCACTTGAAGACCAGGATCCACACGCTGTAATGCATATGCGGAGCCTTATCCGTAAATCAGGTGACGAGGATGTATTCGTACCGGCTGAAATTCCCGGAGAAGAAAGCTGGGTTATGGAATGGAACCGGTGCCATGATAGGCTAGCATCCAAGACTATGGTGATATTCGGGCATGATGCAAAGCGCCAGTTGCAGCTAAGCAGGTATGCAATTGGACTGGACTCGGCGTGTTTATACGGCCATCAATTAAGTGCGGTTGTAATTGGGGCTTCTGACGGGAGGTTTGAGCATCATGTTGTTCAAGTCGAATGTGCTGATGTGCCTATCATTCCAACAGTCTCTGTGAAGTAAGGCGACAAGACTGCAGTTATAGAATCCAATAAAATTTAGCTAATCTGAGGTAGCATCTTATGTATGCCCGGCGCTATATGATAGAATTTTTGGGGCTATCATTTGTCTGAACGGACTAGTACTAGTTTACTTATCGAAACGAAATATGCTATAAATAATATCTATTTTTGAACAGCATCTACTCTGATTTCCATCTCTCTTCACGACGTCACGCAACCAAAATACGAACTATGTCAGGCCCATTCGAGGCTCCGGATTGAAATTCAGATATTAATTGATGCCAGCCTCTATCTACCGTTCATCCGTTGACAACTACTCCCCCGTTGGGATGCAGACTCTGCCCAGAGATAAAGCTACTATCCTGGCTCGCAAGGAAAACGAAACATGTGGCAACCTCACTGGGTTGTCCTGGGCGACCCATCGGTGTGCCGCTGAACTCCTCCTCTGCGGCGGTAGTCATAGTTGCTGGAATAAGAGGTGTCCAGACTATACCCAGATTAGCTGTTGCGGAAATATTTCTGTGAGCGAATCGATTTACCTGGCCCAGGACACACACAATTCACCCGAATGCCGTTTTTGACTTGCTGGTTGGATAAACCCCTAGTGAAAGCGACGATTGCGCCCTTGGTTGACGTGTAGTCGAGTAGATCAGGGCGACCAATGTAGTGGTTAACCGATGCACAGTTGATTATGGTCGAGCCGCTTTTCAGATGAGGAATTGTATATTTGGAAAGATAGAAGACAGGGTGGATATTGGTGTCGAAAGTGGTTTCCCATTGAGATCTGTGAACGTATGTTAATAAAATGCACTTAGTGATATAAGACAGAAGACACATGCTCTTCTAGATCCTTGATATCGTCGATCATCGTTTGAGTCCCAGCGTTGTTAACCAGGATGTCGATACCACCTAAGCTTTTGAGGGCTGTGTCAACCACTGCTTGGCAATTCTTCTTATCCCGAAGGTCAGTGGGGTAGCAATAACAGCTTTGCCCGATTTCCTCTACTCGTTTTTTAGTCTCTTGTGCGTCTCTTTCTTCCTCGGGAAGGTAAGTGATTAGACTCGAGGCTCCCTCCATAGCGAATAGAATAGCAACTGCACGACCGATGCCTGAATCACCACCTGTGATAATGGCTTTTTTTCCGGCAAGCTTCCCCGCGGCTTTGTAGGTCTGATACCCGCCATCCTCGGTTGGAAGTTGGCTTGAAGTGGGATTTGGGTCTTCCATCTCAGCCTGTAAGCCGGGCTTTTTGTGGTGCTCAATAGGGATTTGGTGACCTGAATTTTTTGTTAAGCCTGAAACAATGAGACAGAATTGTAAATGAGCTTACCCTTTTGGAATTGAGATTGAGGGCCCCGAGAGGGCTTTTCCACTTCCTGTTGCATGCTGGAAATTCGTGTTTCACGTGTTGTTTTAGGTCGCAAGAGTATTAATGTCCCAGTGATCAAGAGGTGGGAGGTGGAGAGAAAATAGATCAAATTGGAGGTCAGATTGGCGGCTGAGTTTATAAAATAGAGTATGAAATTTCGATCCGGTCAATGTGACGTTTATTCATGCCAGGAAACCGGAAAATATTGAATATTCGTTCTAAAACTGCCCTCCCTTTCGAATCCTGCTCCGAATCCTGTTCCCAAGGCTCGATGATGTAAGAACCCCGACAGTGATACCTAAGTACTGAAGAGATGGTCAAGCGCGTTTATAATGTCTCTGTCGCTTATGTCGTAAAATCATTAGGATTCGTTCTGTAATTCTTATTCAATTACTTTGTCATAAAAAACCAATCGGTATATGGTTCGATATGTACACAAGCGTAGAAAGCAAAGCTAAATCCAGGAGTATGACAGGATCATCATTCTGACTGATAATGACCGGACTAGGGAGGGGAATCAAGTTTCAAACATCACTATTCCGGAGTTCTGATACAGTTATATTGTATGAATCTTGGCATAATGTGAGATCCTGTTTATACCAACAACATGGATGACGGAAGATCAACGTAATGGATCGCATAAACATGGTATTTCCCCACAAATAATTAAGGTCTATCGAGACTCACTAATCCTAAAATTGAAAACGAAAATAAAATCGCGATAGTCAAATATCTATTCAACTACGAAGGGGCAGAGCGGCCAAGGGTCAAATGCCTGACTTTTCAGGTTTGATGCCTGAATATGCCTGAATTATAGACTAGTTCAAAAATGAAGCTATTCCCACCATGCAAATTTCCGTATGTACCCGTTCTGTGCGGTCGGAGTCGGGTCTCAACACCCACCGATGATTTGTATGGTCTGGAGGCCCACAATCAACTTCTCTAAGCTTAATGTTATAATACAATACCAATTCCCCCCGGATATATCGCACATATAAAAGAATAATCTGGAAGAAGGTTATATAGAACCTTATATGGTAGCGGAGCTCTAGCTTATCCGAGATCAAATTAGTATGCCATCGACTAGTCAACACCATGGATCTGGAATCCATATTAGGTAGCGGCTGGTAACGGGATGCCTTTTTAAACCATAAAAATCTTCCTCTTCAAAAAATTCCTCCCTTCTTCCCGACATCAAATCTTACTATACAAAAATTGTTCAATCATCCTCCAAAATGTCCGACCTATCTTTGCAAGGTCAAGAATTGAAGAAAGTCCCCTACCACGACCACCCTCCACAATACGACTCATACCAACCAGATCTACTCACCTCGGTTATTGAAAACGAGTATAATGTGAAGATACTAATCGAACGGCTAGGGAAGCTATACAAGGAGTTGACTTTCTTCGCAGATAATATTCCCGACCAACCTAGTCACCCACAGACTGCGGAGCTTTCCCTAGGGATGGCTCGACTATTTACAGAGGGGACAGCGATAGGTACAGAATTGGCAAATCTTTATAAGGAACGCACCGACCAAAACACCGAACTCTACATTGCCATATCAAGGCTCACTCGGAGTGAGTTTGATCGAGCCTATGCTTCCTTGAGGCGGGATCCCAATCGGCAGATGCGAGACAAGCTGGCTCAGGACCCCAATAACCCTGGTGACTTCATTGATACAGACCATGGATACAATTCTCAACGCTCTCGGCAAACCAAGCAAGTAGAGGGAGCTGGAAATTGCACAGTTGATGACCGGTTCTTCGAGCTCTCGGCAAAGGGGGATAAGCCCAATGACAAACTTGGCCAAAGCCTTGGATCCCATGATATGGTCAATGTTTCAAGTACGACTAATGATGCTCCTGCGCAACCACCCACGAGCTTTTGGAGGAGAATTTTGAATGGCTTAGCTCGGCCTGTTAAAGTGAAATGAAGGTCTCCGGAGTGATCAATTTATGATGAGACTGCTGAATGTTGGTGTTTATCTTGCTTTATAACAACTTGAACGACCACGTGAAATCTGGGTTACGTTTGTTTGCTTACTTTGAATTTTTGATACTATCCTTATTTGAACACTTCTACGAAGCTCACCCTTGAAGAGAACAGTGATGACCAAATTAGCTAGTCGTATAATCAATTAACTAGCCTATGATGAGGATATCCCTTTCTGTCTTCTCACGACAAATCTTACGACATACTGAAGACTTACCAAGAGAAAACCGCCAATACAATTAGCAAATGTCACCATAAGGTGAGAGGAAGTATTACATTTCGCCAGCACCATTGATGAGCTGAATCTTCTGGCTAATTGCGGAGCGAAGGGTAGCAATTAAATCATAACCTCGTGTGTGCATGTCACGTGACCAGGTCTTTTCTCCTAGTGGTTTTTATGCGGTGAAGAAGTAGTCGGCTAACTTAGAATAACCTAACCGGCAGAAAAAATAGACTACCATACTTGCAGAATGAACCATCATTATCTTCCCCAGAGCTTCTACAGTCACACTTTACGTAGCATTAGAAGTTAGAATCAGTCGTTTTGCTCTGCAACGACTATCGGGCGGCCGCAGGCCGTCCAGATCCCTCGTAAAGTTCTCGAGGCAGCCCCGTTCAGTATGCTCCTTTTCATATCGGCCTCCTTCAGCTTTGCAGTAGCAAAGGCCCTGACATCTTCACTATTATGGCGCGCAGCAACACGCAGCTTAGTTGCATCTTCCAGGAGGCCCTCCTGCGTTATCGTCGTCAAAATGTCCATATGGAAATACCACGGTTTTTGAGAGTTGAGACTACGTAAAACCACGCTTCCGTTTAATTTTTGACCCGGTCTCAATCACGAGTCTCATCGTTGTTCTACAATGATCCCCAGCCGCCAGTGCGTCATAACTCATCTTGCCCGCATTAAATTTCACAATAAATGTACTTTGTACAAGTAACAGCAAAGCACTAACACCTTGATGTTTGTACAGCGCTACGAAGCAGCCACAATCAAATTTGTTTTTCGTCTCTAAATCACTCTCCCCAAAGGCTCCATCGGAAGTTGAGTTACTTAGGCTGTTGCAGGTCCCAAAATAGTCCCGGAAGGGCTTTCCTTTCTTCTCAAAAAAGCAAGAGCAAAGTTAGAGAAAAGTAACAGAAAAGAATCTTGATATCTCAATTGGTGGATATAAGATAGTGACATCAAACTAGAAAGCTTCTTAATCTCAATTGATGAATACAAGGTAAAGCCTCCCTAAAAGCTAGTGAGATACGCTGGAAGAGATAGCCAGGCAAGATGAAATTGAACGACCACTTCCTTATTACTTTCTTCGCCTGGATGATTGAACTTTGATTGGTTGATCGGCTTGCTTTCATAGAAAAGGAAACTACAAACGTACTCTAGGTAATTACCACAACGTAGTTCAGATTCAGCAGGCACGGACCTGCTGCGTAGAGTGTAGATTTTGTTCCCCCTCTCCCCCCTCTGATGTTATTCAAGTCAACAACAATCTAAAGATGATGGCCAATATAACCGTCCAGTGGCCTTATGGCCCTACCTTAACAACCACCTCCAGCCCTACCCCCACCTCCATCCCTACCCCCACCGCACACACCAACGCCGCCATCGAGAACATGGGCCGACTCCCAGCGGGCCTTTGGGCCCTAATATTCCTCGTGCTCGCCATTGTGAGCATCGCTAGCTTCTTCTTCTTCCAGCAGCAGAAGAAGAAGAAGGAGAGCGAGGAAAAGAAAAAGCCCAAGGTGGCCGAAGAGTCCCGGCTGGTTGGAGGACTCCCGGATGAAGATTCCCGGGTGATTGGAGAGTCCCGGTAAGTTAAAGTTCATACTTCCCCTAGAAAATCATCTGGAGGGTCTTTAAGCACATTGGCTAACACCTCGTGGCATAGGGACCTCCAAACGGCTCTCACCATGAACTGGCTCCGTGAGAGAGAAGGTAAGTCGCAGCTAAAGAGCCTTATCATTGCCTCTATGGCCCAGTGCCAAACGGCTAACAGTTGTGGATCATAAAGGCGGGAGCACTCCCATCCCAATTCTATTGGAGGCTCTCGACCCGGGCGTCCCTCGGCCATCCTCAGCCGACCTGGAGTGCGGCCCTGTCAGATTCATCCTCCCTCCCGCGGGCACCTCAATCCCGCGACCTGCAACTCCTCCCCCGGTCATCGTGGTGGCTCCCTCGGTGACGGCAGCGGCACCTCCGACCATCCCACCAGCCAAAACTGAGCTGACCCCCTCAAACATCTCGGCAAAAAACCCATTGTCGTGATGGTCCCTAAAAGCCCTCGTAGGTATCACCGGTAAGGCGCCGTTGCAAAGTAGTGCGGGGGATTTCGAAACGGCGCGCTACCTGACGAATTGAAGAAATTTCTTGATTCTTAAAAGCCTGGATAGCTAGTAAGATCCTACCCTCTTGCTCTGTTGAATCTCTAGAGCTTCGGGACCGAATTGGTGGTATGGTGGGTGGTTGAATTGACTAGGTACTAATTCCTGGACGCGTTTTGGATGGGTGGCCCACTCGCTAGTAGTGGCCCACTCGCTTGTGAAATACGTTAGTTAACTAATTACTAATGACGGAAAAACGGTGGTAAGGCGAGTGTATATGTGGCAGAAAAATCTCAATAAATTCTCTAACTCTCTAAAAATGACAATAGTCCTAAAACATGACAATCTGGTGGACAACTTAGTAATCAAAACAAACAAAACAAAATGAAAGGATGTTTTTCGGGCGAAAAACCACTGAGTTGGTTTTTCTGCAGAAAACCAGCCTGGTCAGTCACGTGACCCAACTGTATCAGGGATGAAAAATGACAGTATTCATCCTAGATTCTGACAACTAACTTGTTAGAGATGAATCAAGGAGTCTACGGATGAAATGTAGACACTCTGGAAAGTTCTCATGAATTGCGTGAAGAGAGAAAAGGAAACTACCTATCTGCTGGGACTAAAATAGTTGTTGGGAGCGGAGAGAGGTCACATGACTTCGAACATAACTATCTCTAGCGAGCTTGTAGAAATTGCTATTTCCGTTCCTGCTAAAGATAAGCATTCATTTGTTACCGGGTTCAACTTTGTCTATAGGACAAATTCACTAAGCATACATTTTAGCTATCAAACCCCTCAAAAGCAGATTAAGATTAATCTTCACGGTCGGCTATTGATAGGCTTCAAAGTTATCTCAAGTGCTCGGCTCTACGTCTAATATTTCGCCAAGATTATGGAATATGTTATAGTTTGTTTGATTAGAAAGCCGAATACAATTTGCAAATTAGTACTACTTACCCTAAGCGGACAGATAAAAGCCTTTGCTGGGTATTTCGATATAAGTTAAATATTGATGTGCTGTTTCAATTCATATACGCGGCTTACTGACTCAATTTAGCATTGCAGGATGGTGAGGCTCGAAGTAGGTTTATTGCATCTAGGATAACTAATAATAGTATCTTAGAGGCCGCGATGCCTGTTGGTTCGTCGTTGTCTTCGTCCAATTTGTTGAGTTCGCCCTACTAGTCTATAGTTCGAATTAATTAGAAGCCAGGGCCTTTGCTCTTCCTTCTTTAGCTATCTTGATTTGCTCTCTTCTTTGACGTTCCGTTTTATGCTCTTCATTTTCATCACCCGTGAACTCAACGTTACTCAACACAAGTGCATTCATTAACTAAGCAAAAAAGCGATAGTTATAGAGATACTCTATCACACAGACTCGGCGCGGGATAAAGAACCTCGTGGCGAGGCCACGTACATGCGTAAAAAGGTATCCCAAAGGGAACGTTCTGCCTTGAAAAAGTTATAGATCGGAGTGATTCTCAAGGTAAGTTTTTCGCATCTCTTTTCGAAGACTGCTTCAGTGATTCGCATTCTGTGATCAGGATAAGCTGTGAAAAGCAAAACCTTCGCTAAATTAGTATTCTTAAAAGACAGAATATGCGATATATCAGTGCTACTCACCGGGAATAATGTTTCATCCTCAAACCCCGTCTGATAGACCCGATTGTATATTGCGGTCAAAATAGCTCTCATCTCAATTCTCGAAAACCCTATTTCCTGACCAGGCGTATAGAGGTATATCAGCACGCGGAGGTGAGGGGGTAACGTTGCTAGTCTTTCGGACTCCTGGGGTCGAAGGCATGGCGTTGACCATTCAAATATCCTAGCTAGCCATTGACATTCATCAATAACACTCAGACTATCATCAAGTCCATTTATGATACCGAAGTATGGATTGATAATTCTATATGAATATGATGAGTACAGTCTTCTATTTCTTTCGTCAGAGAATGCATACGAAACTTACTCCACTGGACCCCAGGCATGCACCCTATCTTCAGATAGATTCGCCATTGAGGATAAAACAGACAAAGCTTTGGTAGGCCATCTCGTTCTAGGGCTGCAGCCTAGATACATATCTTCAGTTCCCATCGGTATCTTCGGACCGAAGGTAGAATGAGGCCGGAAGGGGCCTTCATTAGACAACAACATATCTGCACTTGGGAGGCAAATGATTGTTATCCCAAAGTGGCTCAGCTCATCTCTAGAGAAAAAGTGTTTCTCAAGCTGGCTGAAATGAACCATCATCTTACAAAGCTTAGCGCTGCGCTCTGTTCTCAACTCTTCCCATTCTATCAGATCCTTTGTATCTTCCATAGCCGTCTCGGGTGTCATCTTGGCCGCATTTTGTAGTTTAAGAGACATGTTGGCGAAATTAAGAGGAAATTTAAACTTGTTTGACTCGCCATTTGGTGTGTTTTTATACTTGAATGAATGGCGATGTAATAATGACATATGCATGAGCGATATTACGAAATAACAGGCCAATTCCTTTATAGTTAACACTGACCTGTCAAGTCCAATGGCAGGCAATATTCTGATTGGTTAGCTTAGGCCATGAGGCACGTCGAGATGGCAGAGAAGCCACTCTGTATAACCAAAGAGGAAATATCACGACACAGAGTTCCTTGGAGAATAAAAGGTCCTCTTAAAGGCCTGAATCGATATAAGCAACCCGTCCGTGTAGTCTTGACTCTAACTCTTTGAAGGCCATGGTAGAGCCTATTGAGTCGTACGACTCTCCAGCAAGATACTATTGCTTTGTTGGATATCCATTTACCTCGGGAGTGGGTAGCTGAAACGCCCTATCTCTGTAAATGCTAGCTAGTCCACCGTAGGTATTTTCTGTTACGATCGCAACGTTTGCTTGTTTGTTTCTTTGCTTGTTTGTTATTGCTAAGCGAGAGTTGGTTGTTTGCATTGTTTACAAAGTGGCCAGCTATAAGAACTGGCTGTCTCCCACTTTGCAACTTGCTTCTTCTTTCTCCCCTCATCTTATTATTCTGAATTTAATGCACTCTTTGTTTAAAAAGACCTGGCACGTCACATTTTCTTACATTTGCATCTATCTATTTTCATTTCTTTGTCTGTGATTCCTGCATACTCCCTGTTCTCGTCGAGATCACTTGTATGTATTGTCAGGTTAGGTCTCTCGTTGGCAAGTACCATCAGCACAGGCAGGTCTATGCAACCACCTATATGACGACGATAATATAGATGGAGTCATCGAGCAGGATAATAATGGTCTCGCTCGTACAGCGGCGCTGGGGCGCGTAGCTATCTCTATACGGCAGGTCGATAGATAAAATAGTATGTCTCATTTGCTATCTTGAGTCAATTATTGATCTTACAGGGGCTTATCGAGATGATACAGCACTAGGTGCCATATATCAGTCAGGCGTACAAGGTGCATGAACTAGATGAGATTGCCGAGCGAGCGCCTTGTTGATTGACACCGATAACCCTAGGTAAAATGTAGTCATCAAATCAACTTAACTATAGCGAGCCTATCTAATCCTACAGCTTGATGATACTATTTACTCCTGTTGAGCTCGCTGTTCTTGCAAGCCTACCTAGGTAATGGATCTAGTTAGTTAGTTAAAACGCTATGTAGTAAGAGGGAGGTTGCCCTTTTAAAAATAGCAGGCTAATGGAGGATTAGATGAGGATATGTATGGATAATAGATTGTGGTGTTTGAATACTTGAATCGCTTCATCTCTGCTATTGCTTCGCTGATAGTGATCCTTACCCCCTTGTGTCACTCCTCTTCTTACTCTTATGGAGGTCTGATAGGCTTACTGCGGTGTTTATGCTTAGTGTTTTTGATAATCCGAGCGCATTCACTGCAATTTATCTCCGCCTATGTGAATATTTTTAGATTTTCGTTGACCTATACGCCCGATCTCTATGTTATCTAGATCACTACATTAGATAGTTAATTTCTCTTATCCACAACTCCCTCTTCGTCTCGTATCTTCAGTGCTCTGAGCACAATCTTCTATCTACACGTTCCTTCTATCGTGTTTTATACATCTTTCGCGTGTATCTAATGGCGATTCATGACGCCGGCGAGGATAAACCGATGGAAATGAATGAGTGGAACCAGTAAAGAAGATAAATATACGATGGGGGTGGGGATGGGGATGGAAGCAAGCAAGATAGAGAGAGTGGGGATAGATGAAGAAGAGAGAGGGATACGAGAGCCAGAAAGCAAGAAGGATGCGGCGCGTATGACCGAAGGGGATGGCATCCACGTGAGCCATACCTCGTGAGATGCCATTAATATCTGTAACCGAATTTTCTCCTATTGTGGACGGAATTCTTTTCTCATTTAGAAACTTTCCTCCAAGTTTATGTTACGTGTCGAATCAATGCACAAAGAAAGAGTACATTCCAACGAATACGAAGCGTAGAGAAGGAAAGGAAAAGAAACAAGACGCAGGGCTACGGCAGGGGTCTTATACCGCTACGGGCAAAGCCCTATTCTCGCTTACTCGTTCAGGAAGGAACGACTTCCTTCGGGAGGGAAGGAACAACTGACTCGCCCTCCTAATCGGGAAGGAACGAACTGTGACGTGCCAGGCCTTGCAAAGAAGAGTTCATTTAATTCAAGATAACTAAGATAGGGGAGAAAGAAGAAGCAAGTTGTAAAGTGTGAAGCAGCTAGTTGATATAGCTGTCCCCTTTGCAAACAATGCAAACTTCGAATCATCTCGCTAAACTATCTAGCAAACAATCTGGGTAATGCAAACAAGCAAACAGTAAGCGAGCAAGCAAACGAGCGAGCAAGCAAGCAAACGAGCGAGCAAGCAAACATGAAGCATATGATAGCGACCCATGTGGATCGTGACACGAACCCCAATCGTGACAGTTTACTCGGTTAGACCGTCTTTCTCCCCGATTCACACATCTGATTCTCCCATCCCCCTTCAGGTCGCCATATTACTTTTTCTCGGTATCTTCCAAACCCTTGCTTGTTTTGGATTCACTGCTGACCATATTCAGATCATCATGAGTTTACCAGAGGATTCTCAGCAGTGGCAAGACACAGTACTTGCTGTTTGTGGAAATAGCTTGCCCCCAACGCCAGATCAGATTACATGGACCGGGGGCTCCCACATAACAGAGACACAGTTCTTGGCCCTGAGATGCTATTGGCCCAATCATATGATCCCGCAGAGCTCCATCGACTCTTATGAGGCACGAAGACTGGAAACCTACAGACAATTCAGCTCAGCTCGGCAGTGGCTAGGTGCATATCCCCCATTTGGCGGATATCTCAACCACATCAGAAACAACCAGCGCACGAAACCCTGGAATATTGGAGATTCCGACACAGATGCCTATGGGCTAGGAATTATGGAGATTCCACGCAGAACGCAGGAGATTATTCGTGCCGCAGTGCGAGATAACCAACCATTTGACGAGCAAATGATCATTGCTAGTCTTGTCTCATTCCTCCAGTCAATTGCAGTTCGGAACCCACAAGTTCGCTACGATTGGTCTTCCCATAGAAGACATATCCAAGCCCAATTCGCACAATCCCAGCTTAACTTATTCGTGGATGGTGCCCTAGTGAACCCTGCTACCAATGAAATCAAAGCACTTTTGGAGGCTAAGAGAGACTCCGGAAACAAGAAGCAGGTATCATGGCAGATATCAGCGGAAATTGCGGCCTTTATATCAAGACTTCGAGGGACCCGCCAAAAAGTCCGGTCTTTGTCTTGAGCCAACGTGGCATTCAGATTCTTGTGATGGCTGCATACTTTGACGCAAAGTATGCTAATTACATCCGAAATTCCGGCCCTGTCACAAGTCAAATGACTAACGGCTTCATGCGGATAATGACATTTGGACCTTGGAGAATCGATCGGGGTAATGAGATGCAGAATTTCGCGGAAATTGCTTTGGCTATTACTATTCGTGACTAGTGACGCAAAGCGGAAACTCGTTAGCTACATATTAAACATTTGAACTTGCGTTACGCGTTATTGCTTAGCGGATCGATTTATTAGCGTATAACGTACTAGCTTAGCTATCGGAAGAGCTAATCACCGTTAAAGAAACATTTAAATATATCATCGTGCAGAAGTCAACTGAGCCTAATCGATTATAAACGAAGTCCGCTAGTAACTATACCGGGCGGGTTCATGTATCGAATCACGCACGGCGAGGTAAAAGGACACATGACGCTAAACTAGAAGGGTAATAGACTAAACCCAAACACGGTCTACATTAGTCATCCGCCACTGATCCACTTTGTCGCTGGTTCATATAGCCAATAATATATCTTCCTTCATCCAATATCCGATATGGTGTAAGTCGAGGTGACAACGGAAATGCCATGATTTCATGTGGTTTTAAGCATTAAAATCGTGGTCTTTCCATATAGCACGGTCCAGGAGTTGGGACCAAAATCTTTTTAGTCCCATGGGACTTGTCGAGGTCTACTCTTATACTATTAGTAGAATTCGAAGTCTGTCTTTAATTATTTATAATAGTTTGTAATTCAGGGTCTTCTTTCTTGATTCTAATTTGTAGTTCAGGCTAATACTAGAGATATAAACAGTAGTATCTATGTCTACACAGCATTTCAGCTAATAAAATTAAAGAGAGCAAAACATGATGTTAGACTCGGCAAAACAATCATAGAAAAGAAGGAACTTTGTGTCCTTTATACGAAAACACTAAGCTAGAGAAGGAAGAAGAAGAAGAGAAGAAAGGAAGAGCAGTGAGAGAAGTATAGCAGCTGCAGCTGCAGCTGCACCTGCACTATGTGTCCCTCTGCCCTACCCTACACCTGACCTTGCACATGTCAGACGTTCCTGACAATGGGCGGTGGGCTGGGCTGGCTATGGATAAAATAGCCCAAAGCCCATTGACAGTTGGGCTCTGGGCCTATATTCTAGGACCAACCTAGCCCATTGAAGAGTTCTAGTCTTATCCCCCCTTCATGTTTGCTTTCTTCGTCAGAACGACCTCTGAAGTATTTCAAAGATGATGGGCGTTGCCTCGTCACAGTGGCCAGAATTCTCTCTCTCTTCTTCGATTTGGTTGATCAGATGCTCTAATCAGACATGGTATTTTCCACGTCGGTTGTCGTGAGTGGGAGTGAGCCCGTACTCAGAATCTAGAAGTAGTATGTATATACGGTATATCTAGCTCTCACTCTCCTGGTTCTCGGTACTCTCAATCAAGTCCTCGACATTCAAGCTTAAAACATGCTTTGTTTTAGACATACTTTCGTCTCATCGCATAGTTCCCGGTCGTATGAAGACTTGATATCAGACTTGAGGTGCAATCTGAGAACACAGAGAGCACCTGCCCTCTTAGTCTCTCTTGCTAGTCCTCTTTCTTAATCTGTTTCCTAATCCCTTTCCTGTCATCCCTCCTATCCTCCTCTTTATCATACGTCTTGTTTTGCTTCTTCCTCGTTAACTTCTCTGTTAATTCACAAACTCAATCCAATGGGTCACATTGATAGTTCCATCAAGGAAGGGACATCATACATGGAGTGAGAAAGAAGAACTCGCTACCGTGGACACATTCACATGTCCCTAGTTCCCAAACAGCTACGACGGCAGAACATCATGCCAGTCATTATCTCCTTTGAGGCCGTGCGGAAAGCACTCCTCCCGCTACTTCAAAGTCTGAATTACACCAAAACAAGTGCTCTGCACAGCCTGCGTTTCACAGGCAGACTGGATGTCTGGAAAAATTTGAGCGAAGCTGTTGAGGAAGTTGATCACGCTCAGCATAGGAGCGCCCGGACAATCGATTTGAAACTTGCAAATCGCCAGATTCACGAGGAGCGCGTTGAATGCGGCAACGAGGCCACTGTACAAGGCCGCATCCTGCACTCAGTCGGCCAATTACTAGGCCACATACTCCCAGCATAGGGCCTCAACATGCAATTTGGGGACTTTCGAACAATCCCCTCCACTTACAATAATGAGCCCGACTTCATCATGAAGAGCGACAACAGTCTGCTTTGCGTAGCGGAAGTAAAGACTTGGTGGGTGGCAGACCACGAAATCACATTCGCCATGGAAAATGAGAACCTTTTCCGAAAAAACCGTCGCACAGGCAATACAATATGTGCAGCATTCGAGTTGCCAATATGGCTGTTTGACCAACGGCCGGAGAAATGTCTTCGACGTCCTGCTGTGTACTGACAATGGCTGCTCCTTCGAGCTTGGCGATGATGACCCAGGTATGGCCGGGTAAGGCAGGGCCCTCCTTGGCTTGCTCGTGTGTATCGGTGGTGATCTTGGTGCCTTTATAGATGATAAGGAAACGAGGGTTATCGATCTGCATTGCCACCGGCAGCCTAGGTAGAGAAGAGGAGGAGTGTGAAGATTAGATAGCAGCAGTCCAAGAAAACCTTGGAAGTGAATAAGAAATGAAAGATTGACACTTCGTTCCTTATAATCTGGATCTATGAAGAGTACCTGCCTCGTATGTATCCCAGCACCTGCCTTGTTTACATCCCACCCTCTGTTCTTCTTCCTTTCTCTATCTCTCTCCCACCCTCACACAACCTCTGGACTTAGACCATCTGCAATCTCTCTAAGCTTATGCTACTGCCACTAGCCTTCTGTCCCCACAATCTTTCATCCAGCGCCGGTACTCCTGGATGCACGGATATCTCTGTTTTATCACACTGCCCGTTCTCGTCGGATCTGTTCCTCTCTGAGGTTCAGTTTTCCTCTTTTCGCCCTCCTGTTAGATCCTTTCCTCCTTGAGGTTCGGTCCTTTCTCTTCGTTCCCGTTGGATCTGTTCCTCTTTGAGGTTCGGTTTATTTGGTATAGTTCTCTGAAGCCTGGTCTTGTGGGCTTGGTTTACTAACAAATGATTCAGAAATGGCCTCCCGCGCCCACGTCCCAGATTTGTTCCGCCACCCATTGGGGGGAGACTGGCCTAAGGTCCTGCATGATCAATTAAAAAGACCCCGAGAATGCAGTATCAGTGTTGGAAACAGCCATGATTACATCACTGCGAGGCTGAGAATCCGTCCAGATTCACAGTCTCCATGGCTCGACGTCCAAATTGGCCCCATGCACATCGCCATCCCAGCCACGCGGGCAGACATGAGATTAGTTCTAAAGGGCTCCTCGAATCAGCAGGATACCTTCATCGAAGGACACGAAAGGTCCCTACCCACAAGACGATACGGTTATCAAACCTGCTTCTTTGAGGTGGACCCATCAATTGGCCCTATATTCGCTGGTCCGTCTTGGCTGTTGGACGATAAGCAACTCGCTATACTTCGCAAAATCCAGGCTATTAATTGGTCTCATGCGAACGTCAATATCTGGATGGAGTTCCCAAATGAATGCTTTGGGGTATTCCGACAAATCCAGCGACACATGAATGAGTTGGTGAAGCTTGTTCGACAGGCACTTCCCGCCGAGGGAGAGACGCCTTGGACTTGGTATGCCCAGCGCAATCCTTTGCCGGATGCAGAAGAGGCACCACGGCGCCCGAAGATGCCATGGCTTTTTGATCAAAAGGAAACCGCGGAATACCATATCTGGGAGACAGCGGTGGACTTTTTTCTGGATGATATGGATCGCCGTTCGCGACTGCTGGAGGCCGCATTTGTGGAAAAGCACTTCATATGGTCCACCTACAATGACGTCTTTTGCAAGGGCAAGAAGCACGAGGTTATCTTCGAGCAATCTGGGCCGAAAGAGGCGTACTGGAAACTCCATATTTGGATGAACGCCGAACCCAAGCCAGCGCCCCCTGACGGCATTCGCGCGAGCTATGAAGTCGATTTGGCGGATCTGGGTAATCCCAAATACCCAGGGGTATATAAGGGTGATGGAATCTGCATCCTCTCAACCCATGCAGATTTTGCCATCCTCACTCGTGCGCCCTTCGAAGCCGAGTTGGACGGGCAGACTCGAAAGCTGATGGCCACCCTGAAGCTCAATCTGAAGTCGACCCAACTGCAGATCGATGCCCTCGACATGGCCTCAAGGGTGGTAGCCTTCGGTGACGATCCTAAGCACCAGGACGAAAAGGGCTACTCATTCCGACGGACCATTTTGGCACACGGAACCGAGTTGGCCACAGACGACCCTTTGGCCTTCTGGTTAAATGCCCAGAAGATTTCGACTTTGCCTGATGAGGAGAAACAAAGGCGGGTCGACTATATCTGGGAAAAGTTCCCATTGGATGAGTCGCAAACCACGGCCGTGCAGAGGTCGGTGTTCGATGTCTCTGCTGGGATTCACTTGGTCAAAGGCCCACCTGGCAGCGGCAAGACCCGAACCACCGTGGTCATCCTCTTGATGCTAGCCAGCCTGAATCTTCCGGTCCTTATCTGTGCGGGCTCAAACCAAGCCGTCGATACCCTCTTAATCGCCTACCAAGACGCCCTTCACAGAGATGAAAGGCTTTGGAAATGGTGTGGGAGGTACTGCCGGTTCCGGACCCCGTACTATCAGATGGCATCTCTGCGCCGGGCAAGCCAGCGCCGACCAATTGAGACGAGAACTATTCAGCCATCCTTGTCTGAAAAGGCTCTCGAAGCTTGCCAGATCGAATCTTTGGTGGTCCAGGAAGCCAAAGATCACTGCGAACAGCATCGGCAAGCCCAAGAGTTTCTGGATTCTCTGGACAAGGATCGGGCGCAGGGGTTGACCAAAGAGGAGGCCCTCCATCTTCAGCGCAACTACGAGCATGTGCTCTGCAGGGTTCTGAAAAGGATGAAGGTTGT